CACAACGTTACGACTCGAGCAATTATCGCCCGACTGAGACTGACTGCATTAACCTGTTTAAATTGCATTTATCAGTCTGACTGTTGACTGATTCAGTTAGTGATTGACTGAGATAACCATTCCATAAAGATAGATACAATTTAAACAGGTTAGTAGTACTGATGACCGAATTGAACTAATAAAACGAACTGGTTCACTGTCCGTAATGTACTAGTACGGAACGATCTTTAAAATGACCGACCAGGCACAAGACTACCAGTCGGTCGACGCCTTCTAGACGAGGCAATCGTGAAATGCGGTGTGGGGTGAGACGCGGGCTAAGCACTTCCCGAGCAGCCCTTAAGCATCTTATTCACGGACCCCTTACTGTACGTCCCACAAAGGTCATGCATGACGCTTGATACGAAACGACAATGAGTAGGTTTGTCGTACTTTATTATTGCTCGAGAACTGTCCGCTAGGATTCAATGGCCAAAAAATGTGGGTCGTCCTCATTTAAAGATTAGGAATTAGTTTCATTATTTTCCACATACACATTAATTTGTTAAAACGTGAAATAAAGAAAATCATTTGTTTATTTTTTATCACTTGCCGTTCTCTTATAACCCTAGCAATTTATTATTTATGTCGGCTTTTCCGACAACATTAAAACGCGATGACTTCTGTATCACATACTGATTTAAGAAGTGCTAGCGCATACTGTATGTTCTTCTTAGGCTGTCTGTGGTAAGAGTGGGCTGTAACAGGTAAAATCGCATATCTGTTCCGCGTGTTCAACTAAGGTGTTGAACATACATACATATAATCACGCCTCTTTCCCGTAGGGGTAGGCAGAGAACAGTTCTTTCCACTTACTACGATCCTTATATACTTGTTTTGCTTCGTCCACTTTCATTATTCCCTTCATACATGCTCTACGGTTTAGGGTACTCTTGACCTGGCCTTTTTTCAAGACGTCCCTGATTTGGTCTATAAATGTCCGCCTAGGTCTACCCCTTCCAACACTTTCATTCACACTCGCCTTATACACTTTTTTCGTCAATCGTTCTTCATTCATTCTCTCGACATGGCCAAACCATCTCAGCATACCTTTCTCAATTTTTGTCACTACATCTTCTTTCAGACCACAACGTTTCCTTATCTCACTATTTCTTATCTTGTCACTCAGTTTAACTCCTATCATACTTCTTAATGCTCTCATCTCAACTGCATTTATTCTGCTTTCATGTTTCTTCTGCCATACCCAAGTTTCACTTCCGTACATGAGTGTCGGAACCAACACCCCCTCATGCACAGCCAAACGAGCCTTGTTAGACACCTTCCGACTCCTCATAAAGGAGTGCAAAGCTCCATTCACCATGTTTCCTGCATTCACTCTTCTTTCGATATCACTCTCACACTTTCCATCTCTTGTAAACTTTGAACCCAGATACACAAACTTTTTCACCTGTTCAATTTGTTCATCTTCAATCACAATATTGCAGTCAGTCACTGCCTCATCTTTTTCAAACACCATCACTTTCGTCTTCCTTACATTCATCTTCATTCCCTTTCTAACAAAAGCTCCACTCATAGCAGTTATCATCTCCTGCAACTCCTCGGCCGAAGACGCAAGTAATACTTGGTCATCAGCATAGAGAAAACATTTGACGAGTAACTCATTCATTCTCAACCCACTTTCATTCTCTTTTAAATCTGTCAAACAATTGTCCATAAACAGATTAAACAGCCACGGTGACGCTACACATCCCTGTCTAACACCTTTTTCGATATTAAACCATTCAGTGTATGCCCCGTTTATCCTTACACAAGCACTAGAATCCCTATAAAGAGATTGCATTGCTCGTATGAGGATACTGCTCACACCGTTCACGGACAGTGCTGACCACAATTCATTCCTCACCACTCTATCATAGGCCTTTTCTAGATCTACGAACGCGCAGTAGACTTTCTTGTTTTTAGCCAAATACTTTTCGGCTATGCACCGCAAGGAAAAGACCTGATCTGTACATCCCATTCCCTTTCTAAATCCCGCTTGTGCATCCCATACTTTCTCGTCTGTTTCATTCACAACCCTTTCAATCAACACTTTCACATACAATTTACCGACGACGCTGAGAAGGCTAGGTAATTTATGCAGTCCTGCCGTGACCCTTTTCTCTTATACAATGGCACGATTACGGCTTTGCACCAGTCTCCCGGTACTTGCTCATTTCGCCAGCACAGATTGAAAAGGCGGTACAGCTGACTAGCCACCAGGCCCTGTCCAGCCCTCAGCATCTCGACGGTAATCCTGTCATACCCTGCAACCTTACCTAATCTCATACTTTTCAACGCTTTCACTATTTCATCCATGCTTATCTCATTTTCATCAACATTTATATTAGTTTCCGTGGAAGGGGGCAGATGCTGTACCTGCACTTCCTCTCTTTTAAACAAACTTTCAAAATACTCTTTCCATCTCTTTAACACACATTCTTCTCCTTTTATAATGCTCCCATCTTGACTCCTGATTGTACTCAGCTCCGAGGTAGAAGCTTTTCCTCTGGCTGTTTTGATGGTTTTGCAGAAAAACTTAATGTTTGACTGGAAATCTTCAGTGAGCCTCCTATCGAAATCATCCTTTCGTTCTTCTTTCTTTCTAGACACAATTTCTTTCGCTGCTGTTTTCAATCTTTTATACTTCGTTCTTGCTTCCTTTATCTCGTCATCCGTTGCCTTTTGGACTTTTTGGTTAGCTTTTGTTGCTAACCAATCCAACCACGCTTTCTTCTTTTCTTGCACAACCCTTTGTATATCTTTATCCATCCACACGTTATCATTCTTTCTTCCTTTTCTTCTTTTAGCTACCCCGCATACCTCAATAGCAACATTTACGACCCCTTTCTTAAATGTCTCCCACAAATCTTCAATCACTCCTATCTCTTCTATCCCTTTAAAACTTTCTTTCAGTTTCTCTACATACTCGTCTTTCTTTTCTTTTTCTTGTAGATTTTCACTTTTACTCTGTCTAAAACACTCGTAGGCTCGGCCACTCGGTGTCACCACCGTTTAAAGAGGCCACGCATTCGGGCTATGACCAGGAAGTGGTCTGTGTCGAGTCCTACACCGCGGTATGCCCGAGTGTCTAGCACTTTCTTCCTCAGTCTTTCATCCACAATTACAAAATCAATCATACTTCTCGACTCACCCTCATCTCTTGTATACAAATGGATCTTTTTGTGGTCAAACATTGTGTTGGCCACGCACAGATTCCATTCCAAGCATATTTCAAGCAGGCTTCTCCCATTGTCATTCACTCTCTCGTCCCCAAACGTACCCAGAACTCCTTCATACCCATCACGCTTTACTCCAACCCATCCATTAAAGTCCCCTAACATCACGATCCGTTCATTTTCTCCGCATTTATTCAAGACCTCTCTCATGCTATCCCAAAATTTCTCTCTCTCTTGTTGTGTTTTTAATGACCCACTTCCACGCAAATCCGTCGGTGCATAGACCCCAAGGGTAAACAAGCGAGTGAGTCCGACTTTTAACCTAATTCAGAGGAGTCTTGGGCTTACACATTCATGCTCCATCACACATTCAACCATTCGAGATGAAAGAATCACACCAGCTCCCTGATAGCCTCGGCTGGTTTGGGGGACTCCCGACCAGTATGCCGTGTAGGGGCCATGAACCGTGGTGTCACATCCTTTTCTCTTGGTTTCGTTCACGCACAGAATATCAATGCAATGTTCATCCATCATCTGACATACTTCATCTACCTTACCATCCATTCCTCCTCTTACATTCAACGTAGCGAAGCGGCTCTCCGTGGGCCGCTATTCGCCCCCGCGATAAACGAGACGTGATGGGTGGCGAATCACATCGCCGCCATTTTGGTTAATTAAATTATTTTTATGATTATCCATTGCGTTCCCACGAATAGCAAGGGAAAGGTTTGTCCCCCCCAGCAGAGCCCCGCATGCCAGGGTAAGGCTAGCCTAATTCTGGGGTCGCCCAGTCCCAGGGCAGTGTGGCACGCTAACGACTAGGCTCGCCCCTAGCCATGCATCCATCCGCGCGGCAGACGTTGGATTGGCGGAAGGTAGGAATAGGAAAAGGGGAAGGATAGGTGGTGTGAAAAGGAAGAGTAAGGTAAGTTAGGGTAGGAAATAGGAAATGTAGTATATTACCGTCCAGGAGGGCACGGGATAAGACAGTAATAGCTAGGGAAGCCGGGGTCGCATACCCGTATACCATACCACAACTACCGGACAGGTAAATTGGGATGAGTATCCCTCGACGAGTGACCCATGCGAGAAAAGGAAAGAGCTTATGACGATAACATGGGCGTCACAGCAACAATTTTTATCTTATTTAACAAAGGTAACTGTCATATGTATGAATAAGGCAAAACGTGTGAACTTGTGACTGTCTTTTAGTATATTTGTTATCTCGTGGAACAGGAGCTTTTCTTTCAGTTTGTTTGTCACAGTTACAGTCTGCTATTTTAAGATACCTATTTTTTTATCTGTTACGATAAATAGTAATACGCCTCATTTGGCCTAAAGGTCTAGATGCCAGGCCATATACTCCAAAAAAAAATACGCCTCACTCCTAGTCTGTGGTAAAACGCCGTTTGACAGCTCATCGTGAGAAAATGGCGGTTGTTGTATTCTAAAATAATCTGTCTATTTTTAAGTTTATTTAGAGATTGTGATAAGATTTGATTTAAAATATATTTCTTTAATAGTTATTGTTATTATTGTGTGCTAGAATTAGTGACCTGTGGTGTAAGCAAAGAATCTTACGATTAAAAAAGACGTAACATCTTATAACAATAAAGCGGTTTGCGACCGCAGTTATTTACGAAATAATAGTTTAATTAGAATAGTTTGTGTAATTAAGTCGGGTGCGATATTTTACATTATTAAATTGTGTCATGTTGCATTTGTTAATGTGTTTTGTTTGATAAAAGTTTGTTGATATGTGTTTTTGAGAAATTTCCCACTAAAATGGGTGAAACTGAAGAATTTAATACACTAACATTTGAAAAGAAACTTATGCAGTTAAAAGATACTCAAGAGAGTATTCAATCGTTGTCTTCATGGTGTTTGAAACAAAGAGAGCATCATAAAAAAATTGTTTCCAGCTGGTTAAATGTTTTGAAGCGTGTGAAGGTGGAGCAGAGACTAGTGTTGTTTTACCTTGCTAATGATGTAATTCAGTATAGCAAAAGGAAGAATTATGAATTTGTTGAGAGCTGGGGACTAAATTTACAAAAAGCCACTCCACTTGTCAGGTAGGCAGAGATAATTTTATCCTTAGATTACTTATATTAATATTATGTATATTTTGTGTCTTGTTGTAGTATATAAAATAATGACAATAATGGGAGATACTTTAGCACAAATTATCCTATCTTAAAAGTTGTTGTAGACTACAAATATCCATTGTTTTAGCATCTGTTTTGGGTTGCCTATTATAGATGTCCGTAACTTGATTTTAATTATAATGATTTCTTATATTTACGCGAACACTACACATGGAATAAAACTATTTTTACGGATTTTATCGCGTTTAATTAACTTATTTTATATTCCCGACGTTTCGGTTGCTTTCCGGACCAAAATTAATAATTAAAAAGCTGAAGGTACTCCGGGTTAACTTTGACATCGGGACGTCACTCACCTCAGTCCCCCGTGACCACGGTTGCTGGAAAGCAACCGAAACGTCGGGAATATAAAATAAGTTAATTAAACGTGATAAAATCCGTAAAATAGTTTTATTGATTTTCATTATGTTTTCTGTTTAGGAGGCTTGTCAGGGTTTAACTTGAACCTTTTACACATGTGTTATGAATTAATTACGATAAAAATAAATTGCACTAAAATTGCATATAACGAAATGCAAATATGTCAATTTGGTCTAGTATTATAAAGTAGACATTGTTTTCAGTTTAGCTGTTTTCTGTTTAGGAGGTTTGTCAGGGTTAAGCTTAAACGTTTTATCCTCTTTTTGGATTTTGGAATTTTTTTTTAATTAATTACAATAAAAATAAATTATTTCATTAACTAAAAATTCCATATAAAGAAATGGGTCACTCATAAAAAAGTTACTCAGACCCAGACAATTTGTGGCTGAAGATGGGACTCATACACAACAAATTGAGTCGTAGTGTGGAGCAGTCAAGAGGTTTGGTATTACTTTCCAATGACGTCCGACAAGTTGGGGGTTGATATTTTTTTACAGAAAGTTTACATTATTATAAGCACACACGCAAAGTTTGAACATGTGGAAATGTGTACTTTTTGAGAAAAAAATTATTGAAAATCAATTATGTTTGCAATATTTATGGCAATCCCCATTGACATCCATCGAGTTGGTGGTTGATATTTTTTTTACAGAAATGTTACATTATTATAAGCACACACGCAAAGTTTCAACATTCGGACACATACTTTTTGAGAAAAAAAATTTGAAAATCAACTATTTTTGCAATATTTATGTCAATTGCTACCGTAAAACTAACGCTATTTTGTATTGTCGTTGTCAGTAGGGATTTCGTTTCTTTCCGAAAAAGTTCGATTTTTTTAAATTGATTCAAATAGTAAGCTGATGTATCGATTCACAAAATATTGATTTCTAAATATCTATATTTTTTTATGTTTGCATTTATAATGTTATAAATCCATTTTATGACAAAAAAATCCCCTTCATCATAAAAAAATAGGGGATTTCTGTATCTATTTTTTTACAGAAAGGATACATTATTATAAGCTCACAGGCAAAGTTTCAACATGCGGAAACGCATACTTTTTGAGAAAAAAATTATTGAAAATAAATTATTTTTGCAACATTTATGTCAATTCCTACCGTAAAACTGACGCTATTTTGTATGGTCATTGTCATTGTCAGTAGGGATGTTGATTCTTTCCGAAAAAGATTGATTTTTAAATTGACTGGAATCGTAAGCTGATGTATCGATTCACAAAAAATCGATTTCCAAAATATCTATATTTTTTCATGTTTGCATTTATAATGTAAATATAAATCCATTTTATGAAAACAAGAAAGATACCATAATAAATGATCTCTTATTGAAATTTGTTTTATTTTATCAGTACCTATTAGGGCAGATAACAAATAAAATAGGTTAGGTTCAACTTACGTCAAAGAACCGAATTGATTGACCCCGACTCCACCTGGTACGAGTCTGTCCTACACCTAGAGTGGTTTTATAGAGCCGAAGGTGCATAGGGGGAGCAGCCTCCGGTACGACTTTCCATTGACTCCCATCGAGTTGGGGGTTGATACGTATTTTTACAGAAAAGTTACACTATTATAAGGACACACAAAGTTACAAAATGCGGAAGCGCGTAATTTTTGAGAAAAAAGTTATTGAAAATCAATTATTCTTGCATTGTTTATGTCTAATCCTGCCATAAAACTGATGCCATTTTTTTATTGTTATTGTCAGTAGGGATGTCGATTCCTTCCGAAAAATATTATAAAACCACTCTAGGTGTAGGACAGACTCGAACCAGGTGGAGTCAGGGTCAATCAATTCGGTTCTTTGACGTAAGTTGAACCTAGCCTATTTTATTTGTTATCTGCCCTAATAGGTACTGATAAAATAAAACAAATTTCAATAAGAGATCATTTATTATGGTATCTTTGTTGTTTTTCATAAAATGGAATTATATTTGCATTATAAATGCGAACATAAAAAAATATAGATATTTTAGAAATCGATTTTTTATGAATTGATACATCAGCTTACGATTTGAATCGATTTAAAAATCGACCTTTTTCTGAAAGAATCGACATTCCTACTGATGACAATGACATTACAATATGGCGTCAGTTTTATGGTAGGATTAGATATAAACAATGCAAGATTAATTGATTTTCAATAACTTTTTTCTCAAAAATTACGCGTTTCCGCATCTTGTAACTTTGTGTGTGTGCTTATAATAGTGTAACTTTTCTGTAAAAATACGTATCAACCCCCAACTCGACGGGAGTCAATAGAAAGCTAAGCCACAAAATGTTTTAAGTGAATGCAAAAAATTATAGAGAAAAAAATTTGTACTAAAAAAACTGTATTAATAAAACACCTATTGTTACTAAATGTAGACTAAAGTTCCTTGAAAAAACAGATAAAGCTGCTCCTTTAACAGTGTTTAATTTTAGGACCATAAAACATTAGTTAGTAGTCTTGTCAGAAATTACTTATAATAAAAATTTATACAAAACTTTGCAGGGATGAAAAGGTGCGACCAAAAATATTGCGGATTTTCAAGATTTGGGAACAGAGATCAGTTTATGATGATGAATTCCTGTCAGATCTAACTGGACTCCTCAGTGCTGGAGCTGTGAAAAAGACAGATGATGATCCTTTGGACTTTCAGGTGTGAATATTTCAATATTCTTTAGAAAATTAAGACTGTTAAAAAACTAAAAGATTTGTATGTAATATGTTATGTAAGAAAATGTTAACATGTTTTAAATCATCATCATCATCATCATTACAGCCCTTCACAAGTCCACTGCTGAACATAGGCCTCCCCCAAAGAATGCCACAAAGCACGGTCCTGAGCCACCTGCATCCATCGACTTCCTGCATGTCTTACCAGGTCGTCACTCCATCTCGTGGGGGGACGCCCTACACTTCGCCTACCGGTACGAGGCTGCCACTCGAGAACCTTTCTTCCCCATCGGTTGTCGGTTCTTCGAGCTATATGGCCGGCCCACTGCCACTTCAGCTTACTAATCCGTTGTTTTAAATACTTAAATTGAAAAGAAGAGTAAAAACCAACTTCAAAAACTAAAAACATTTAAATAGTTGCCAAATAAATAATTAGCTTCTAGAATTTAGTCACAAAGTATTTTGAAGAGTTAGAGCACCAACTTCAGAAGCTATTAAATTATGTAAGAGTTACTTTTTTTTTTTTTGAAGTCAGTTTTTACTTTTAAAACAAATTAAATTTCAAGACCCTTTTGAATTAATGCAACAACAGCAACAGCACAAGTTCAAGCTAACAACTAGAATGTTGTATATACAGTTGCCTTAAAAATTTTACCCCTACATTTTTATCCTTTTTAAATTTTAATGGTACCTTAAAAGTATAGTCAGCTTAATAAAAAAGGATCATTAACATTGGTTAACAATCGGTGAAGATAGATATCATCGAGTAACATATAGTGAAGTTGAAAAACTCTTTTATTTTATTTAAACCATGTAGTGGCGTTGTAAGAATATTCACTACTCCATATCATCTTATGGGTGTCGTAAGAGAGAGGGAAGCTGAAACAGAAGATGGGCAGCAGCATCTTTTCGATAACAGCTGAATAAAAAAAACTGTGCTTGCCAAGTGTGGCAACTATGGCAAATATCCCTCTGATGAGGCAATCTATGGGATAGGCCTATGTTCAGCCGTGGGCTTATGATAAGCTGTTAAGGTAAGTATTTTATATGTGAAAGAGACATGCTGCAGTACAATGAAATAGCTTGCCCAGTATAGGATGACCAACAATATAATATAGAAGTTACTAGTACTTGAATAGTATGATTGAATTCATTTATTATGTTTTCGTAAATATTCCTACATATGCATATTCATTTGCAGCCACAACAGTTAGTGAATAAAATAAAACAGTGTGCAGTGCTGGAGGCGGATACAGATTTGAGATTGAAATATATACATGAGAGCCATTTGCAGCTCTCAGATGCAGATGCGTTATGTGCTAGCCTTAAGGGTATGTTTTTTATGTTTTTAAAATAAATTGAAGCGATATGATATGTTAGTGCAGTACATGGACACATGCAGTCAACTTCAAACAGATGCAGTGTAGCCTCTGAGGACTAAGATTGAATGCCTCACAGCCTGTCATTATACTGGTTTATACCATGCACACCGGAACAACAGTGTAGGCAGGATATTCAGTGCCATAAATAGGTAAGAGGATGATACGTACCAAGACGAATTTCTAGTTAGAAAATTCCTGCCACCTAGAAAATTCAATTATGTTACTGTAAGTAGTTAGTTTACGACGGGCTATTTTCGGCAACTCCACGCCTAAAAGAGTATTTTGCGTGTGAGTAGGAATATTATTGTTATTCGAGCCATAAAATCTCCCCCAAGAAGTTTGATGTTGCAATTGCAAGCAACTTTGGGGAGTGATCCTGGCGTGTTGAGATGTTTAGCCCTGCATGCAGTGAACTCCGGACGTGCCAGCAACCGCCGTGTTCTATTTCCCCATACATGCTCTGCACAGGGTACTATCTGTAACTCCTATGGTAAATAAATGTATGTTAAAAGAGCCATGTCCTGTCATAGCACTTGTAGCTATCCTGATCTGTGGCTTGTTCAATCTCATTAAGACCCTGGTTAAATAACTGTTAATTTCTGGTAGGACCTCCCTAGCTTGCCTACAGTTCACTAGATGTTACTGTTTGTAGTGTTCATTTATTATGTATGTATTTTATTTTTTTAGTCAAATTTTTTTTTCAAAGGCATATGCCACCAGTAATTCTTTTCTGCCGACTTCCAAAAAGGAGACGGTACTCAATTCGACTGTATGTTTTTTTATGTGTTACCTCATAACTTTTTACTGGGTGAACCGATTTCGATGATTCTTTTTTTATTTGAAAGCTGGTACTTCTCGTGTGGAATATATGAATTTTATCAAGGTCAGACCAATAGTTTTTGAGTTATTCTTAATAATTTATATTGAAGTCTGCAGTACAAAATTTTTAATTTTTAATTATTTTTTTATAGGATAAGGGTGACAAACGAGCACACAGTCCACCTGATAGTAAGTGGTTACTGTGGCCCATAGACATCTACATCTATCTTCGACTACAAATCAAAATGCAGATGTGTTGTCATCCATGAGGACTAGGATGGAATGCCTTGTTTCCAGTAAAAAGGGTCTCCGGTTCTCTACACTCACCACTGATATAATTATTAGTCACTGACATAATTATCCAAATCTGCAAAATATATTAGGATATGTTAGTGATGTTACAATGGTCATATTTATAATTTAATTATTGTTTACAGATAGAAGTAATAAGGATGATGTGGAGAAAGAACTCAATGAGGGCATAGCCTGTGTAGAAAGGTACACACAAGCACTACAGAGAGAAATAGTTGCTCGGGAAGCTCTTTTAGCACTCTTAGCATCTGCAAATCAGTACTACTCTACGCAAAGGGGGGAAGTAAAAGTTGTTGCTTATGTGAGATTTTTTTTATACTTTATTTTAATATGTGAATTATCCCTCCAATTTAGCAACACCATATAATGCTTGACTTGCAATATGACTGTAAATTATTAGTATCTGTCCTTTTCTCTTGCATAACATAACTATGAGTAGAAAAATTGGTAATGTTTATGGGTTTTTGAGACTGTTACAAATCTTTAGATTTGAAGTCACATTAAATTTTTCGATGCAACCCATGAACAATAATTTAAATTTTAAGTTTTTTTCTTGGCAGCAGGTTCCGATTAGCTGAACTGTTTTGTTTTCATATGAGCAGTATGGTTTGAAGTGTTGCCAAATATTTAACAAATTAATTTATTGACATTAACTAATGAATTAACAAATAGTTTTGTTTTATAATACACTTTTTTTTTATCTTGTTATTTAAAAAGGTGTCTCATAATTGTGTTTAGCTATGATGCCATGAATGCGCGGTAAACGAAATATCTGTACTTTTTAATTTTTTAAGTGCAATAAAGTTTTTAGCAAATGTTCTGCATATAGTTGTTAATTGTTGTCGATACTTAAATATTAATAAAGGAGTTTTGATTATGTCAATAACTAGCAAACCGCCTCGCACTGATGATTTCTTATCTTGAGAATAGTGCCACCTACCGCGTCTAGTTGTTAACCTAAACCATTACCATTATTGTTAAAATTCAAATCTTACATTACAGGCATACAAAACTTTTGGCGCGCGTGTTCGCGCATTAAAGCGAAAGTTAGACGAGTTAATACCAACCTTACCCAATGCAGCTCCATCCCCTCCACAGAGGGATGAAGATGTTCCCTCGCCTGGACCAGATGAGGACTTAGATCTTCCCAATACCACAGAGACTGGGGATGATGATAGTGAGTTAAATTAATCATTGCTTCATATTCGGATTTTTCTTTAAATAAGATACTATTTAACTATGGGTTTTCTTTGTTTATTTATTTAATAATAGTCTAAAGTTAATAGCCTAATGACAAAATATTCAAACGCTATTCCATTTTAAGATGTAGTTAAGTCTCTTGGTGTCACAGTCACTTTGACTTAAAACGATAGAGACAGCACGAGACCTAACGGCACCTTAAAATTAAGTGGCATTTAAGTATTTAGACATGAGTTTTACAGGTTTCGATTCACTCCTTAAACTAAAACCTTATAATTTAAACATGTATGGTCTGATTACAAAATGTGGTTTATTTATTGATAGTTCCGGGTTTTAAGAGGAGTTTATGTTGTCTGTCTTTTAATATTAGTAAGTGTAAATACCTATAAATTTTCTATATATTTTAGTATCATACAACATTGACCAAACATTCAACACATCATTGGCTGCTGATGGATCTCTTTACAATCTGGGCCTATCATCATTTTTAACATCAGAAAATCCTTTGTCGATTTTCAATGATTCTGATACTGACCTTAACAGTGGTGAGTAAGGTTGATTTTGTTTGTATTTTTAGTTTTTAAAATTTTGATAGTAGGAAGTGTCTTTAATGCTCCCCATCATTATTACATGGATATTGCACGCCTTATAACGCGAAGCGTTATTACTTCCGACACGTCAAGGTCAAGTAATTTTGTATTCTTAAAATACCTCTATCTTAACCATATTGTACTTATGCGATAATTTGAGTAACCGTATATCAAGAAAACACTAATTAACCCATCTTATATTTTCTAAAAAATAATTTTATATTTTACATTGAAAAAAAAAAATTTGAAAAATTTTTTTCGTGTACGTTCAGATGTTGATTTTGTATGTGGTCACGATAACTCCCGAAGAAATTGAGATATCGAGACCGAGTTTTTTTTTATTAGCTTCAGAATTACATCAACTGGTGCACTATTTTATATCAATAGCCTAGTACGCGTAGTTTGTTAATACAGTGATTTTCAACTTTAATAAGTTTTTATTGCTATTAAAAATTTAAAAGTGCTTTCATTTTATTTAGCCCTTGTTAGACAAAGGATAAATGTAGATATATATATATATATATATATATATATATATATATATATATATATATATATATATTTTATTTATATTTTGTGTAATCGATTTATTTTGGTAAACATTATCAATTCTTTTTAATTTACAATTTATTTTTTTCGTCAAAATTAAATGAAACGCTCATGAGGCGTGCACTTTTGAATTTTACAAATATTTAACATTTGTATTAAAATGAAAAAATAGCCGAAAAGCTTGACACCATCGATGGCAGAAACGAATGTGTAGAAAGAACATGGCAGAACCTTAGGGATGGAATGGTAAGTGCAGCGGAAGAAGTGTGTGGAACAATGAAAAGAGGCAGTAGTAAAAGAAGAGATGCATGGTGGAATGATGAAGTGAAAGAAGCTGTAAAGAAGAAGAAGAAAGCATGGTTAGACTACTTGGCCTCTAGTAATGATAAGGATATGAGAGAGAAGATGAAAGAAAGATATAAGCTGCAGAAAGTTCACACGAAAGCATTGATTGAGGAAGTGCGTGAAAGGTGTAGAATGGAAGCGGATGAAAGGTTGTCGCACAACTTTAAGGAGAACTCCAAACTCTTCTGGAAAGAGGTTGGAAGGACCCGAAGTGGTGTGACGGCCTTAAGAATGAACAAAGTGCTTTCGAGAACTAATGACGTCCTCTCAGAAAAATCGGACGTCATGCAGCGATGGAGCGAATTTTATAGAGAAATGTATGCGTGTGATGATCTTAGTGAGGGATCCGGGGATGACGCCGTGACTGGCACGCCAGACCCGGACCTCGATGACACTGAGGTCATCAGTATGAAAGAGATTGAACGTGCGATTCGAAGTTTGAAATGTGGTAAGGCTGCGGGACTAGACAGAGTTACTGCTGAAATGGTCAAGTATGGTGGGCCTCGCGTCTGGGACAGCTTTCATCTGCTGTGCAATTTGTGCTGGCGGACGGGGGATGTCCCGGATGATTGGCGATCCGCAGTCATTGTGCCTTTATATAAAGGTAAAGGTTCACATTTTGACTGCGGGTGCTATCGGGCGATCAGCTTGACCAGTTTAGCAAGTAAAGTTTACTCGAAGGTTTTGACACGTAGGATGCAAGAGAAATCGGAAAGATTTCTATGGGAGGCACAATGCGGATTTAGACCTGGAAGAGGATGCACGGATCAAATGTTTTCTCTCCGTATGATCACGGAAAAGCTTCTGGCTGTTAACCAGAAGATTTTCTGTGCTTTTGTGGATCTTGAGAAAGCGTTTGATAAGGTTGTAAGGAAGAAAATGTGGGAGCTGTTGCCGGGGTATGGTGTGGATGGCCGATTGCTAAGGGCTGTGCAGTCTCTTTACTGTGACTGTAAAGCCTGTGTGCGGGTAGGGCATGACCTGTCACCCATGTTTAGCGTCCAAACGGGCGTAAAACAGGGTTGTGTCATGTCTTCCTGGCTGTTCATACTGTATCTCGACAGCTGTTTACAAAAGCTGAAAGATAGCTGTTTGGGTGTGAAATTGGGTGACATAAAAGTAAATTGTCTGCTGTATGCTGATGATGCAGTGCTTATTGCACCATCAGAGGCAGAACTGCAGGCATTAGTCACGTGTATGAAAGAGGAATGTGAAATTAAAGGTCTCCGTTTGAATGCTAATAAAACTAAGGTTCTGGTATTTGAAAGGGACGAAGAGAGAACGAAGTGTGAAATATGGGTAAATCAGGAATGTCTAGAACAGGTAAATGAAATTGTATACTTGGGGAGTGCTTTTAGCCGGGATGGAAGATGTGATTTAGATGTGGACAGGCGTGTCGCTGCCGGGAACAAAGTCAATGGTGCCCTGACTGCGTTGGTCAAAAGGCAAGGCGTAGCGAAGAGTGCACGCCTTGCAATACATAACGCAGTGTTGGTACCGACTTTGTTATATGGCAGCGAAACCTGGGTATGCCAGAAGAAGCATAAAAGTAAGTTGAATGCAGTGGAGATGCGATCTCTTCGTAAAATGTGCGGCGTTACTATGGCCGACCGAAAGCGAAACGAAGAGATTCGCAATATGGCAGGTTTGAAAGATGACCTTATCACAAAAATTGATAAGGGCGTGCTTCGGTGGTTTGGGCACGTTGAGCGAATGAGTGAAGACCGAATGGTGAAGAAAATATATAGCGCGAAAGTTAATATTAAAAGGTGTCGAGGTAGACCGAGACTATCTTTCGAAGACCATGTGAGCAAATTGCTCGAAGAGGGTAGGGTCAAGAGTACTCGGATACCTAGACGTGCATGTATGAAGAAGATAATGGATCTGAAAGAAGCGAAAGAGATATGTAAGGATCGTGTAACTTGGCGATCTGTTCTCTCTGGCTACCCCGTCAGGGATTGTGCGTGAAGATAAGTAAGTAAGTAAGTGTATTAAAATGACATGATAGTATTATCATAGAGTCAACAAGATCTTTTGGTCATTTCTCCAAATCATCTCACATCACTTATGGGATAAGAATAAGATATGGGTTCTCATTTGTCACCACTAAATAGTATTCAGCCTGCCTTTACATAAATTACGGATCAATTTTTGTTGTCGAAATTCGATCGTAATTCATTTAATTTTTAAATTTATATACTAAGCAAACTGCAAGAAGCATTTCACTTTCAACTGCTCATTAAAACGCAGATACCTCACATACAAAATATTAAAATAAATAATTTTTGCCTTGATATACACTCGACAGACTATTGAAATAGGAACATTTGAAATTTCAAAAATGAAGTAGTATTTATTTTGTTGGCAACATTTTAAAAAATCCTTTGGTGACAATATCTCCTCTGTGCAACTGTTTGACCACAGGCTATTATGTGTTTGACATCGTCAGTATATACACAACAAATGTTTTATTTAATTTAATTTAATGTATTTGTAACACAATAATAGGTTGGGGAAAAAGATTTTTCGTATTTTGTTTGTATAAAATTAAAAAAAAATCTCTTTGGTTGTACTGTTTGTATCTGGCTGGTTTTAATATAAATACATAAAGGACATTATGTAAAAGGAAAATAAAAAGTAAAAAAACACTTTTCTGCCATTTTTCAATTGTTTTTCTGTCTGCCAAAATTAGTGAATCTTACTAAGCAACTCGATATAGTCTGAAATTTTATTACAAAAAAGGGAAAAATGCGACAAGAGCCGCGAAAAATATTTGTGACGTTTATGGACTTAATGCAGTGTCAGTAAGAGTAGCACAAAGTTGGTTCAAGCGTTTTAAGTCCAGAAATTTCAATGTCTCGCTGTGGTCGCCCTCATACGGATAAAGTCGATCCATTTTTGATAAAGTGGAGCAAGATCGGCATATTAGTTGTTACGACTTAGCAGAGGAATTGGGAATTGATCAGAAAACAGTTTTGACCCATTTGAAATGTCTGGCTATACTAAAAAGCTCGATATTTGAGTACCACACGAGCTCACTGAAAGAAATCTAATGAATTGTATACTCATTTACGATTATCTATTGAAATGTTTTTTTTTTATAGGATAGGGTGACAAACGAGCACACAGTCCACCTGATGGTAAGTGGTTGCTGTGGCCCATAGACATCTACATCTATCCTCGTTTGCGAATCAAAATGCAGATGCGTTTTCAGCCGTGAGGACTAAGATGGAATGCCTCTTTTCCAGTAAAAAGGGTCTCCGGTTATCTACACTCATCATACGAAACACAACAGTGTTAAGCTGCAATTTTCGCTGGTATTCTGTAAGAGCGTAGTCCTTCCCCGGGCGAGCCGACCCATTCGTGCTACAACTGTACTACTAATATAGCTGCTGCATGGCTCTACCACGTATAAATGAAAAAAAAATGTAATGAAACCGAACCATTTCTGAAAAAATTGATCACTGGTGATGAAAAGTGGATCATTTAACAACAAGAATGGGTAAATAGGACCCTTTTTACTGGAAAAGAGGCATTCCATCTTAGTCCTCACGGGTGACAACGCATCCGCATTTTGGTTCGCAAACGAGGATAGATGTAGATGTCTATAGGCCACAGCAACCACTTACCATCAGGTGGATTGTGTGCTCGTTTGTCATCCTTATCTACTTAACCTACTATTTTGCCACTGTGCTTGTCTCCACCTAGCCACTTTAATTCGAATTCACAGGTTAAATAAACCAAATACCTGGTTCAATTCCTCGCTAATGAAAAATGTACTTAAATGAAATGTTAACAAGGATAGTCATGCTTTTTTATCCATCCATTATGTACCTATTCAGATCGGTTCTGTACTAAGTTATTTAAAAAATATTAGGTATGAAACAGCTTACCGATCTAAATTCTCCGTGGCCTTATGAGATATTCCAAGGCACATTAACATGTTGCCGTATTCACGAGCACTATAAACGTACGCGTTAGGCATTATTAAAACAAAACAAGAAACACAAAACGTAACAATAAGTAATAACAGGTAATAACAACAAGAATTTGATAAACACAGTATATTTTCACAGTAACCACTTACCATCAGGTGGACTGTGTGCTCGTTTGTCACCCGATCCTATAAAAAAAAAAAAAAAACGACTGTTGCTCACGCGCACGTGGTAGTCAACACGGATATGGCTCTAAAACTAAAATTAATAACCAATCCCGCCAAAACGAAATGCCTACCGCTAAGTGCGTGCGTCCTAACGTTCTTGCGGTAAGCGTTTTGATCGTTTCCCGCTGCAAACAAATCTTGGTAAGTAAATTTCGATGTAACATGGCAGCGTTGCCAACATCAATTTGTCAAATTCTTGAAAATCCATGTCAAATTTCCCATATTAAGGACAAAACTTCAAAAGATTCTCCACAAATTCCCTTCAATTTTATTTTGAGAAATGAAACAATTTTGGACGAATTATACAAGATTTATTTTTATAATTAAATTTATTTTTTATTTTTTACCGAAATTTATTTTCACACCATATTTTTGCAACAAGCATTTTACTCAGAGTATTTTTAATTCCTTCCCTTGTTGCTATTAAAAAGTACCACAGTATCTGCATTTACGGTTCTCTGCTTTAAAATCAAAAAATAAAGAAATGAAAAGCATTAAATGATACACAAAAGTTGCCACAATAAATCCGAAAGTTAAATGTGGTGCAATGAAGATATATATAAAAAAAAAGGAGTCATTCGATATTCATAAGTAACCTAACAAAAATGTTAAGATAAGTATTTAGATTTCATGAAAAAAGGATCTGCGTTGGCCCGGGCTATCGATTTTCAAAATACCCGTTACATTTTCCCCATATAATACCAATCCCTATATAATCTCCAACCAACTTTAAATTTCCTGCAATTTGGCGAATTCCCCACCGACACGAGTCGGCCGGGCGGCGGCAGCGTGTGTGTGAAAGGGAAGGGTAGAGTGAGTTGTAATACCTAATGCATTGTTTCGTCAGTTTCGTACCGAGCTAGATAAAAGAGTTCGGCGTCGGCGGGAATATTGACCCTAGTCAGCTGATTTAAATTACACTGCTGGCATTGTTTAAGTATTTTCATGTTTTTTTTTATTAAATTATCGTTTCATTTAGCTGTACTAACATGATGGAGCGTGAATAAAGCTAATAAAACGTTGTGAAAAGATGATTTTTTTTCCTCCGGATCGAATTTCTTCCTGACCCATCAGCAAAGGTATCGTGTCTTCGTTTTCGGGAGCATTACACTAACACCCGGTGTAATATCGACATAATATGTGCCATTATATATGATTAAATGTAATTAAACTTTCAAATAAAAATGTTTTGAATTTATATATAAAATACGAATAAACTTTTTCCTCAACCTAATAAAATATCACAATCCTCTATGCGTACAATATTCTTAAAGAAAGGTACAAAGTATTTCCTTTCACATGTATTGAAATATATAATAGTTTTTGTACTTTTACAGCTAATAAAATAGAGGTCATAAACAATAGATCGGATGAAAAACAAGATTTTAACATAAACGATTTCCTAAAAACGTTCGCGCCAAATGAAAATAATCCTAATACATCGGATAATAATTCAGGTAATAAGCATACAATATATTATAATGTACAAATGTTTCTCAATTTATTTATGGCCCATTAATTGGTATTATACATGGTAGAGCCCTGGTACAGCTATAATTATGGATGTAACATGAATGGGTCGACCAGAGAAGGACCACACTTTCACAGAATACCAGCATTAGCTTAATGCTGCCGTGTTTCGTATGGTGAGTGTAGAAAACTGGTGACCCTTTACTGCTAACGAGGCATTCTATCTTAGTCCTCAGGTATGACAACGCATCTACATTTTGATTCTTTATGGAGGATAGATGTAGCTGTCTATGGGCCACAGCATCCATTTTCCTTCGGGTGGACTGAGTGCTCGCCCAATGCATGTTAATGTCGAAATATTTTTTTTAATTTCTTTGACGTTTAGGTTTTCCCCACTATATTTTCCTTCACCCCTGTGCACGTGGTAAACCAGTAGTTAATATTGCAATTGACAATTTATTAACACTGCTAAGATCATAAATTATCCAGTTATTGTTGCAATTTGGCTATAATATTTCTACATTGTGAGGAAAACAGAAAATTTAGGAATATAAATACAAATTCATAGTCAGATTGAACTGTGTATTGCCCAAGTCAATGCGAATGTCAAACTCCCTCTTTTTTTCTCTTTCCTTCCTATATCACGTAAAATGTTTTTTTTCTGTGACCGCGGGGCCCTTAAAACACCGGCTGGCCTTTAGTACCGATTCCATTTTAAAGAAACGTCATCAACGACTCCATAGAACCTTTGTTCTAAATATTATGATAGTTCATTCATGAGCTAGAATCATATGCTAACTGTGAGTAGAGAACATGACTTGTTTATTCAATTAATGACTTCTTTATAAATTCTATGTTTGCAAGTAAAATATTTTTTTAAATGTTAAACTTTAGTTGATAATATCAGACTCAACGTACGGAAGTACTACTAGAGTTTTTTTTTCACTGTGTGCTACTTTAAGTGAAACCCGTGCTCGTGTGTACGTTGCATAACGCTTCCGTACTGTCGTTCACTCTGATGTCTATAGTAAAAATAAAGATGTAACCAATGATATTTCACTTCAAAGTGGTTTTTACATGTTTTCAATAAACCGCAGAACATTATATATGTGTAGTACCGGCTTTGCGTTTTGGAACACTTTGGGTTTTGGCTCGGACCCTATTGTGCGCGTATCTTATGTCCTTTTGTAGTAGGTCAATCGTTTAAAACATCTTATCCTCATAACAATAAGTTAACAATAGTTGTTAGACTTGTTTGATGTCTAAAAAATGTTTAAACTTTGTATCAGCTTGTAATTTAATTCTCTTTGTAACATTGTTTATTTTTGGATTTATAAATGTAAATCAATGTTTGTACTACTTATATTATTTTGATTCGAATTTGGAAATGGCAATTTGGAAAATTAATACGAGTTCATTTTACAGTGGCTAGTGCGACAATGTCGCAAAAGTCCCAAGACGCGTTACCCGGGCTGGATCTTCTTACACCGGAGAGCACGGGCAACCCGCCGCCGCCTACATCATTCTATGGTACTAACTCTATGGATGCTATGAACGGTTAGTATTTAAGTTTGTAGAGACCTGGGAATGACAGTAGAGGTCAGTTTTATGCGATAGTGGATCTCTGTTTCGGTTTTTGATGCTGCATACAAATTTCAAGCTGGTTCTTTTGCAATTTTGTTATAAATTATAATATATATATATATATATATATATATATATATATATATATATATATATATATATATATATATATATTATGACATTTATTATAATGACTACATCACTATGAATTAACTTTTAAATATAGAGTAAGGAACAGTTTTCAGTGTAAACGTATCTGCCTTTGCATAATGACATACTTTTTTATATATTATTACTAACTTAATTAAAATCCCACCTGATGGTAAGTGGGGATTTAGCTTAAGATGGTGAAGCGCACTGACTTAACAAAAGCCTATTTACTTCTGCCTTGAAGACACCCACATTGTATTCGGATGGAAACACATATGCTGGCAACTTATTCCACTCCTTTGCTGTATGCATGATGAACGATGTAGCAAACGTGGTATTTTTTTACGTGGTAGAGCCATGCTGCAGCTATATTAGTGGTATAGTTGTAGCACGAATGGGTCGGCTCGACCGGGGAAGGACCACGCTCTCACAGAAAACCAGCGTAAAATAGCAGCTTAACGCTGCTGTGTTTCGTATGGTGAGTGTAGAGAACCGGAGACCCTCTTTTCTGGCAAAGAGGCATTCCATCTTAGTCCTCACGGGTGACAACGCATCTGCATCTTGAGTCTTTATTGAGGATAGATGTCTATGGGTCGCAGTGGCCACTTACCATCAGGTGGACTGTGTGCTCGTTTGTCACCCTATCCTATAAAAAAAACCGTTTGGTTCTAATGCATACACTGCTAAATAAACGCCTTTTCACATTTTCCTCTTTACTGTCTAGTTTTCTGCTTTTCTCATTCATTATGCGCCTGTGATCATTCTGACATTGTCGATTATTGAGCCGAAGATCGGTATGGTTTTCAGATTATAGTATGAAATGAAAATATATTTATGTATTTGCCTTTCTACCTTTGTCTTAAAGTTAACTTGCAGTGTATTTGGCTATAGCACGAATGGCTCGACTTGTGTGGGGAAGGAACCAAACTCTTACCATATACTGGTGTAAAATAGTGTCAAAATGCTTAGGGGTGACAACACATTTAGAAGGATAGATGTCTGTGAGCCACAGCAACCACTTTCTGTCGGGAGTATCGGTTAAAAGATTACTTGTTTGTCGCCTTTATCAAAGATTATTGACTATTACTAATATAAAAATGTGACACTCATCAAGCTCGCTAAACAAGCAACTATTATCTATAAATAAAAAAAGTGTGTGTGTACTTATGTACGCACGTAGGAAGTTAAGCGTAACAAAACAAAAATAACTAAAAGTAACTACCTTAAATATAGTTATCAGTTCCCACGAAAACTTGAGAGACAGATACCCAATGAAGTTGTGGCTTTGAAGTGTTGGTGTGCGCGCGCATCGTAAAAAATTCACTCTCATAGTTTTTCCTATACGCCCCAAAAGAAGTATAACTTCAAAAAATATAAAAAGGCCAAATTCTTATTAAAAATTATTTTATTTTGTTCTTTTATTTTCTACCAATTTCGTTTTAATCACATTTTTTAGAACTTTTGTTCCATTTTAGTAGCCAATATGGTGATAATCATTAACTTTATTACTGTTTTCATAACTTTCAATCAGTTTAATATTCACGAAATAAAAAGTTACCTCACAAAATGAAAATGAATAAAAAAATATATGGTCATTTCCGAACTTAGGGGTTATTCATTATTTTGTTTGAGTTCCTACTGTAGTACTAGTTGGAGTAAGTCCCTCAGTTCGGTGTGCCTTTTGGCATAGGCCTCTTTCAACTGCTTCCATTAGACTCTGTGTACTGCTGCCTTTGTCCAGTATGGTCCCAAGCTCGGGCGGATATCGTCTTCCCATCTACTGGTTGGATGACCCTGATTGAATAAAAATATGCTGGTTATTTACTTATGTTTTCTGTCATTGATGTTTGATGTCTCTTACATAATAATATATTCTTGTACTTGATTGGCTCGATTGGCTTATCACAACCCTATAATAACTACGCACACACACAAAATGTATTGATTAGTTTGTTTGTATGGAGCATCGGGGTGTGCTCCTACATTTCAGTGCTCAGTTCTAAAAAAAATCAAGGTATTATTTCTAAAGAGAATTTTGTTTGTCTAATTTTTAGGGTTCCGTACCTCAAAAAGAAAAAAACGGAACCCTTAGAGGATCACTTTGTTGTCCGTCTGTATGTCTGTCCGTCAATACCCTTTTTCTCAGGAACGCGTGGAGGTATCAAGCTGAAATTTATATCAAATACTGTCCCTTGGAGCTGTGAAAAAATCAAACTTCTAAGCCAACGCAATCAAAAGATACAACCGTTTATGCCGCAGATTTTCGTCGTTCGCAAGGGAATCAAAACCTACAGGGAACTTCCCGTGAACTCAGAATCTTAAAATTTGGTAGGAAGCAACGTTTTATAGCACAGATAAAGGAAAAATTGCGAAAAGCATAAATTTTTAGTTACAGCATATAATAAAAATATTTTTAATAATTTTAAACTTATATACCTACGGATTTGTACGGAACCCTCGGTACGCGAGTCCGACTTGCACTTGGCCGGTTTTTCTTTAATACTGTTTATATTTATTATGTTCAAGCAGAGGTTATGGGAAAATTTTTATCATTGTATTTATCGTTTGTTTAATGCTAATTATTTAAATATTTGTATTGCAGATGAACCAGAACAGCCGTACATACCAGAAACCAACACTCGGTGGAGCAACAGTAACTGGACAATACCTGTGAGTGTATATTGAACAAAAAGTTTTTGTTGCTTGTTTATTGCTTAAAATACTACTTTTTCAGCTCAACATATTTCTAATAAGTCTATACTCTCCTGACTGTAGATACAAAATCATAATTGTTATATTTTTCGGCGTCACGAAATATAAATCTTTATTACACCAACATTTGCTTTAAAGAGTCTCTTTCTTGAGTTTAAGCTAAGGTGAAAAATATAATATTTTCTCTATCCTATTTTTTTTTTACGTTAATACGTTTTTTTATTTATTTTATTTACGTTAATTTAATTATGTTTCCTAGAGTTAGATTCTACTGTCTTTATAAGGATGTTGAAATTCTATTAGTATTTGGCAGTTCATCATCACTAACAACGACAAAATTCCAGCTATTTACATGCCCACACCTGAACATATGTTCGGCTGTGGGTCTTGATACTTTTGTAAACGCGTTGCACTCGTTCATGAATAATTATGCGAATAATTTGGTGAGTTGTTCGTCCGATAATGTTTATGTTTTCTAAGTATACGGCAAAATGATATCTAGAACGGAAATCGATTTTAATGACGTCGGAATGGGGAAATGTCTACAATATACCCGCCTTGCGGGGGCAAAGACAGGTTATGTGGTATTCGCACTGACTAAAACCCCATGGAGTTCTAATTCTAGATCTTTCTAAAACAAGAGTGGATTAAATAAACCTAATTTTACTAATTTTATCGCGTTTTATTTGAATTTCCGACGTTTTGGGTGTTTTACAGCATCCATGGCCCGTGACCATGGGTGCTCTAAAGAACACGAGAGCTGAGGCGTTTGACGTCCCGACGTCATGGTTATCCCGGCTACCTTTAGTTTTTGAATATTACAGTATCTTGAAGTCTTACAGTGGTATGCTTGGGGTTTGGATTTATTTTTATTTATGGGATTTACATATTTTTACCACATTTTTTTTATTTAAAAATCGATGCCCACGTTTGTGTGGAAATGAACGTTATGAGATGGAGTTTAAGAGTTACTTGGTTGTGCACAGCGCACGAGCGGGGCGGCGGCGCGCGGCGCGCTGTCGGACACGCCGGAGTCGCCGCCGCCCGCGCCGCTGCCGCCGCCGCCCATGCCCAACATGCCCGCGCTGTCCGCGCTGCCCACGCTGCCCACGCTGCCCACGCTACCCACGCTACCCACTCTACCCACTCTATCCAGCACGCCCCAAGTGCCCACAGTACCCACGGTGCCCACGCTACCCACCATGGCTTCGATGAAGGTGCTATCGGACTCCTACAGCCAGGTTTGTACACGTTACCCTGTTTCCTGTCTAAAAGTTTCAGGACACAGTAAGAATAATTTGAAATAATAACGGTGTAAAAATATCCACTGCCTAGTATCGTCCTGGTGGTGTTTATCTAATAACAATTAATAAATAAAAAGCTGGAGTTGCTTAACTAACTGTTATATTTCTCTTATTTATTTTTATGAGCTTTCATTGAAACTAATAGATAGGTAGTTCGTTTTGTTTATCTTTATGACAGCAGTACTGTTTGACATCTAGCCACAGACAAAATATCTGCCGTGGCTACAAGGGTTTTTGCGTAGTATAAAACCCTGTTGTTCTTATTTTATTTTTGTTTCTTTTTGTTAATTTTTAAATATATAAATAAGTATTTTGTGTGTTTATAGTTACAATAATTTTTGTTTTTCTTCTGTGAATGCTATTAATTTTTCTTCTATGAAGTGAATCTTTCCTTGCAACTGGCGGGTGGGTTTGTAAACCATTTTTTTCCTTATATTTATTATTTATATTATATTTATAGTTTAATATCTATTAGTTTCAATAATGATAATTTAAACGACAGCTTTTTTCCATCGGTTATTCAGATGGATTGAGCAGTAATGACAGTTATCACAGCATCCCTTCTTTAAGTGAAACTCTTGATTCTCATTTGTCAGATACTCTGAAAAACTTTAATATTGTTCATATAAATGCCCAGAGTATTCCTGCACATTATCCTGACATGTTGTCCTCATTTTATAACGAAAATATACATGCGATATTAGTTTCTGAATCTTGGCTAAAACCATGTTTGCCTTCAACATCTTACTCTCTTCCCGGATTCCACATGATTCGCAATGATCGCCCTGGGCGCGCTGGCGGTGGCGTGGCGATTTATTTAAGATCACACATTCCTTACACAGTTTTAAATACTTCGCAGCCATTGTCTAGTGCCGGCCCTGAACACCTATTCATCGAAATATTGTTTGGACATTTAAAGCTTGTTCTCGGTGTCTGTTACAGTCCAAATGTTACAATTGATTATTTTTCAGCATTTCAAATTCTTTTAGAACAATACTCCTCGCTTTATAATCACACTATTGTTATGGGAGATTTCAATACTTGTCTTCTCAATAATGATGCTAGAGCATCCCGTCTCAAATATCTCGAAACAGAAACAGAAACTTTTTTTTATTCAATATAGATTATAAATAATACTTATTGAAAGTCACTCTTTTCTTTGATCGTTAATGGCATTAACTTACATATTCTCCCACTTTCTGCGACTCATGCTTTTCCAAATTGTGTGCCTTCTCTTCTTGATTTAGTACTTGTTTCTTCCATTGACCACGTTGCAAAGCATGGCCAATGCAATGCCTCCGCTTTTTCTTACCATGAGCTACTTTACCTTTGCTATTAATTAAAACCTCCTAAAGCTAAGCGAAGGATCCTTCTCCGGCGCAATTTTAGTAGAATGAACCTGGACAAGTTACGAGAAGATACTGCTAAGGTTGACTGGTCAGTAGTTGCGAATGCTGGTTCGGTTGATGAGCAGATATCTATTTTTAACAGCATACTTACACAACTGTATGACATTCACGCTCCAATTCGTCGAGTCCGAATGAAGCATCTTCCTGCCCCCTGGCTCACTGCCGACATAAAAAACTCCAAGAAAAAAAGAACACAGCGAAAACGAAATATCGTATGAATCCTAATGATTCCAACTGAGAGAAATATAACAGGGCACGAAATCGCTGCAATATGGTGTGTAGTATGTCAACGACGCCATATCTATAAATCTGTTGTTGAGGAAGATAACGCAACTAAAGTTTGGAACTTTCTCAAATCTTTTTTTTTTGTTGGGTTGGAAAAGCAAAGCGTAATGTAGAATCTCTTAATTTGAATTTAAATAAGCTTAATGCTCATTTCCTCTCTAGCGCCACTATAGACAGTGCTACGAAGAAAAATACACTTGCTCAACTTTCTGCTATATCAACTCCCAATTTTTCCTCTTTTGTCTTTAGCCAAGTTACTGTCAGTGATGTTAAGAAGAATATATTAGCCATTACTTCCGACGCAGTTGGTTCTGACAGCATTAGTCGTAAGATGATTATCCCGTTACTCGATCTTTTAGCTCCTATCCTTACACTTATTTTAAATCGTTCACTTGACACCAGTGTTTTTCCTTCATCCTGGAAAGACGGCCTAGTAACTCCACTTCCTAAAAAATCTAATCCGACATATGAGGATTACCGTCCTATATCCATTCTTTCCTTTCTCTCTAAAGTACTCGAGCGCCTAATATACCAACAACTGAGCAAATTCCTGTTCAATCATAACCTTTTGAATTCATTCCAATCTGGTTTCCGTCCCGGTCATAGTACGACTACGGCTTTGGTTAGAATCACTGATGATATTCGCCTGGGCATGGATAATCAGCAGGTTACAGTATTGACATTGTTTGACTTTAGTAATGCCTTCAATACTGTAGACTTTGATGTTTTACTCGCTGTCCTAAGTTCTCTTAACATATCTCCTGAAGTAATTGGTTGGTTTCATAGTTACTTGCATGGGCGCTGGCAACGTGTACAAATTCAAGACACATTTTCTGATTGGTCTGCTGTCAAAGCCGGCGTCCCACAAGGTGGCGTGTTGTCTCCTCTATTGTTCTCTATTTTCATCAATTCGATCTGTTCCTACATAACTTCTCTTTACCACCTATATGCAGACGATTTATAATTCTACTCTCAATGTAAGATTGCGGATCTCCCCAATACAATTAGATTAATTAATGAAGATCTTATTCGTATTTCTCATTGGTGTAATTCATTTGGGCTTAAAGTTAATCTATTGAAGACTCAAGCCATTATTATTGCGAGTTCGAAATTAATCTCTCGGTTAACTTTGTCGCTGCTCCCGCCAGTCAAATCCGAAGGGACACTTATCCCATACAGTGACAAAGTTAAGAATTTAGGTAGTATGTTCGATCAGACTTTGTCTTGGGGACCGCAAGTGAGTGAAATAAGTAGAAGAATGTTTGCCGCAGTTGGTTCACTTCGAAGATTACGCAATGTTCTCCCCATTCCTACTAAAATTGCGCTGGCTCAGCCTCTTCTTTTACCGATCCTTGACTACGCGGACACCTGTTATTTTGACCAACTTGAGTCGAGCAACTTAATAAACTTGAGCGGCTTCAAAATTATTGCATAAGGTTTATATTTGGGTTACGAAAGTATGACCACATATCCGAATTCCGCCATAAGCTCAAGTGGTTACCGATTCGCCTTCGCAGGAATACTCACATTCTTCATCTTCTTTACTGCATTCTGTTCAATCCGACCACTCCTTCTTATTTGAAAGACCGATTTATATATTTAAGTAGTTTACACTCTTTACCTCTAACATCTCAAAATAATCTCCTTCTAAGAACTCCTAGACATTCCTCTTCATTCTATTCTAATTCTTTTACGGTTACCGCTATACGACTATGGAATTCTCTCCCCTTACATATTAAAGAATCTAAATCTCTTCCTATATTTAAAAATAAATTAAAACTTTATTACCTTTCCCCTTAAGTTACTACCTGTCGTCATTCACTTTTTTCCCCCCTTTAATCACTTATGTTCTTCTATTTATCTTTCTATATTATATTCTGTACACCCCTTCCACTATCTTTTAAAAATAGTATCCTCCGCCCTAAGGTTGCCTGGAAGAGATCGCTGTTTTAGCGATAAGGCCGTCTGTTGTACCAATGTCCCTTTAAATATATAAATACTGTAATATGTTCCTTGGTGTACAATAAAGTATATTTTACTTTACTTTTACTTTACCTGCCAAGTGTGGTAACTATGGCAATATCCCCCCCCTCCACCCCTGTGACTAATAAACCTACGTAATACCTGTAATTTATTTTTAATATATTTTTTAAAGCACAAATATGAGGCAGTAAAAATATCAATATCGCTAAAGTAATCATTATGTGGGGAACGAAAACTAGTGTTAGTACGACAGATTTTTGTCATAAATAGTTTATGCGAGTGTTTCTCATTATATATTGAAAACCTTAACCTTAATCTTTAAAAGGAACCATTTAACAAGTGGTAAAATTAAAAATTTTCTACAACCGACCTCAATATAAATTATTAAGGATAACTCAAAAACTACCTAATCAGACCTTGATTAAATTTATATGAGACCACATGAGAAGCACCAGCTTTCAAATAAAAAAAGAATCATCAAAATCGGTGCACGTTATGAGGTACAAGTTATGAGGTATAACATACATAAAAATATACAGTCGAATTGAGTACCTCCTCCTTTTTGAAGTTGGTTTAAAAGGGCTTTTAAATGTATCAAAAGTTTAGATAATCTTGACTTTTATGTCATAAAAATCTCTTCTAATACAAAAAATAATATAATTTGCTTAATTATTATTTTGGGGTATCTATAAAGTTTTCTCATCTGGTTGGGCAGTATGAATATATAATTGTAAATGAAAATGGTAAACATACATAAATATGAATAAAATAAAATAAATACATAAAAAATACATAAATATATAAAAACCCAACCAGATGGAAGCCCTCGGCAGGGGAGACCAGACGGTCGAGGGTTAGGGGGAAAGGGAAAGAAACCGGCGGACGATGCGGGCGGTATCGAGGAGCACCGCCTTCTGCATTTGAGCCTGGAGCGGTCCGTCACGGAGTCCCAGTCGCCTTAGATGACCCGGGAGGCTGACTGGGATTAACCCGTTCGCAGAAACGACCACAGGAATAATTTCGGCCGGCAGACCACCCCACATGCCGGTAACCTCGTGAGCCAGGTCCAGATATTTTGTCACCTTATCTGTTTCGGCTTTCACGAGGTTCTCGTCATAAGGAATGGTAATGTCGACCAAAAAGATCCTTGGCTGTGCCCGGTCCATCAGCACAATATCAGGCTTATTCGCAAGAATAGTCCTGTCTGTGATGATGGCCCGGTCCCAGTAGAGCCTGGCGCGGTCATTTTCGAGCACGGCTTCCGGCAAGTACTTATAATACGGCAGTTTCCGATCCACGAGGCCGTATTTCAGAGCGAGCTCCTGGTGTAGAATCCTGGCTACTAGATTGTGTCTGTGCAAATACTCAGAGTTAGAAAGCGCCGAACAACCGGAGATGACATGCCTAAGTGACTCACCGGGATGGCGACAAGCTCGACAGATGTCGACGGCGCCATCCTTTAGGATGTATCTCCGATAATTGTTGGTCTTAATAACCTGATCCTGTATCGCACAGACAAAACCCTCGGTTTCCCCAAAGAGGTCACCGAAACGTAGCCAGTGAAGGGAGGCGACTGTGTCTACGAAAGGCTCATGTAGAGCCTTGTAGAACCTCCCGTGGAGCTTCTTCTCCTTCCATACGGCCTCCCGGTCGGAAATGCACTGTACTGCTGGGTCTTGCCATTGCTCGTTGGCTAAGGATAGAGGGGTCAGTCCTTTATCACAAGAAATAACGTCCCTATAGTATGGATCATCCGCTCTCGTCAGAAAGTAATTACGGAGGCTGCACACTTCGCGATTATGCATGGTAAGCGCGCTTAAAAAGCCGCGCCCACCATGCTTCCGTAATTATTATTATTATTATCTTCATCAGCCCATTAAAATCCACTTCTAGACAGAGTCCCCCCGTTGTACAAAGGTTATACACAAGAAACAAGCTTAATCTCACGCTTGGCAAGTGCATTGACGTTTGCAGTACCAGACGTGAACATCTTTGAAGCAGCTGCAATGGATGGCTACCCGTAATTTTCTTAATTATTATTATTATTATCTTCATCAGCCCATTAAAATCCACTTCTAGACAGAGTCCCCCCGTTGTACAGAGGTTATACACAAGAAACAAGCTTAATCTCAAGTGCAAAAGTAAAGCAAGTGAATTGACGTTCGCAGTACCAGACGTGAACACCTTTGAAGCAGCTGCAATGGATGACTACCTGTCGCTGGTCTGGATATTTTACCTCTGGCGTAATCTATTTGGTTATAACACCATCTATCAGAAGCCATAAGAATTTTCTGCCTTTCCCATAGTCCTTACGACGACACTCAAGAGACGACATGGGGTGATAGATTCTCTTATATGTATTGCTTGTATTTTATGATTCATATAACTGTTTCTCTTTCAGGATGTACCTCCTACAGATGTAGATCATAGAGGAATATTACCTCCCCCTCCCCCTCCACCAGTTCTTCAAATTCTAGGTCGTAAGTACACTGCTTATATTACTTGTTACAGAATGAATGCATAACCTCGCATATGTTACAAAAATAAAAAAAATTATTCGGTTCACTGCTGAATATGCACTTCTTTCATAACAGGGATTCGCTGTAAGTGATAGAAGCAAGCGGATTGGTGTTGCAGTACCAAACGTTATTCACCTCTGACACTACTGGTCGCGGATTTATGTTGTAGTATCAAACGTTATTCTCCTTTGACACTACTGGCCGCGGATTTATGTTGTAGTACCAAACGCTATTCACCTATGACACTACTGGCCGCGGATTTATGTTGTAGTACCAAACGTTATTCACCTATGACACTACTGGCCGCGGATTTATGTTGTAGTACCAAATGCTATTCACCTTCGACACTACTGGTCGCGGATTTATGTTGTAGTACCAAATGCTATTCACCTTTGACACTACTGGTCGCGGATTTATGTTGTAGTACCAAACGCTATTCACCTTTGACACTACTGGTCGCGGATTTATGTTGTAGTACCAAACTTTATTCACCTATGACACTACTGGCCGCGGATTTATGTTGTAGTACCAAACGTTATTCTCCTTTGACACTACTGGTCGCGGATTTGTGTAGTAGTACCAAACGTTATTCGCCTTTGTCACTACTGGTCGCGGATTTATGTTGAAGTACCAAACGTTATTCTCCTTTGACACTACTGGTCTCGGATTTATGTTGTAGTACCAAAAGTTGTTCTCCTTTGACACTACTGGTCGCGGATTTATGTTGTAGTACCAAACGTTATTTCCCTTTGTCACTACTGGCCGCGGATTTATGTTGTAGTACCAAACGTTATTCATCTTTGACACTACTGGTTGCGGATTTATGTTGTAGTACCAAACGTTATTCACCTTCGGATTTATGTTGTAGTAACAAAAGTTATTACCTTTGACACTACTGGTCGTGGATTTATGTTGTAGTATCAAACGTTATTTCCCTTTGACACTACTGGTCGCGGATTTATGTTGAAGTACCAAACGTTATTCTCCTTTGACACTACTGGTCTCGGATTTATGTTGTAGTACCAAAAGTTGTTCTCCTTTGACACTACTGGTCGCGGATTTATGTTGTAGTACCAAACGTTATTTCCCTTTGACACTACTGGCCGCGGATTTATGTTGTAGTACCAAACGTTATTCATCTTTGACACTACTGGTTGCGGATTTATGTTGTAGTACCAAACGTTATTCACCTTCGGATTTATGTTGTAGTAACAAAAGTTATTACCTTTGACACTACTGGTCGTGGATTTATGTTGTAGTATCAAACGTTATTTCCCTTTGAAACTACTGGCCGCGGATTTATGTTGTAGTACCAAACGTTATTTCCCTTTGTCACTACTGGCCGCGGATTTATGTTTTAGTACCAAACGTTATTCACCTTTGTCACTACTGGCCGCGGATTTATGTTGTAGTACCAAACGTTATTTACCTTTGACACTGATGGCCGCGGATTCATGTTGTAGTACCAAACGTTATTCACCTTTGACAATACTGGCCGTTACCAATTTGAATATTTTATATTTGACATCGCGTAGGTATTTTACAAAACCCACTGGATAAAATGAGACGATGGTTATACAATACACACTGTCTGTTTTATCTTTGATTATGACTGTTCCTTTTCAATTTTCAACCGCGACGAAAATATTAGAACCGTGTAAAGCTAACTATCGTGCAAGGTATCACAAGGTGATAGGATATTCCCTTTAGGTCTAGGAGTCCATGTGGCAACCATACACATATATAGTTGTTCCGGCCTGAAGGGTATTGAGAGCCGGTATTATTAAAGAATGTGAGCCATTCGCTCTAGTCGTCGGAGGTGACAACGCATCTATGATGAGCGCATATATCATATGGGCTGAAGTAGCCACTTACCATCAGGTGGACTGTCAATACTTCAATTTAAAAAAAAAACAGGAGCACAACAGAGACACCTCCATCGTTATCACATACCAGTGTAACATGCTCTATCCAGATGTAGTGATGCACTGCTGGACATGATCCTCTCCTATTGTGGGAGGAACTCGTCATAATCGCCACGTTTAGTAGATTGGCGATAGTAGTATATAGATTATGGAAGCTGCTGCCTGTTACAGGTCTGGGTATTTACAGCTGTCTGTGATGGCATACCCACCATCGTAGCCAATGATTTCCTGGCCTTTCTCATAAATGCCACTTACGACGTTCATGACATTGAATTGAGAAGATTCTCTTAGTCGCCAGTACTTGGATAATATTCTATTTTAGTATTTTATTATTTTAATTAGATGGAGAAGACATAGACCATCGATTGTTGTCGAATTTACCTCCCCTCCCCCCGTCGGTCACTACTTCAGCTGTGAGGCATCCTACGTCACATCAAGGTACCGTATTAAAAACAAGTAAACTATTATCAAACAAAAAAAAACAAGAATGCTACTTTGTCGAATCTAATGGCTCCAAATGCCTTGTTGCTTTTTGCTATACATATAATTAAAAAACAAATCACAAATATTGACTCCAAACTCTGTGTCCTGGTAGCCTAGTTCAACTTGGTTTCTACCCTAGGGGTTCCCAATCTTTTTAAGTTATTGGAACACTCATCAAATCCATTTTGTTTCATGGAACTCCACATGAAATGACTACATATCGTAAACTGTGCAATTAAAATATTATGATATAACTCTCGCTAACTGCCTACGTATCTACATAACAGTAATGGGTTTTAATCATCACATATTTTGCGCCAATATAAATAATATTTGTACAAAAGTGAAAAAATAAATGATTTCGTGAAACCCTGGTGACTTCCACGGAACCCACTTTAGGAATCTCTGTTCTACACTGTGAACCTCGCGGTTGACATTTTATGCTGTTAAGGCGAGATTTTTTCCTTCTCCGCTGCTAGAAATATAAAAAAAAAAACTATAACATCCTAATTTAAACCATATTGTCATTACAAAACTGCTCGATTTTCCTTGCGGTAATTTATCAGCCTATTAACTTCGACTAGAGGCTGCATTATTTTCACCTTATGCACCTTCTAGCGAAAATTTGAAAATTATCCGAATGGTTATTTGTTTTTGCAATTAATATAGATCTGAATTAAATACTATGTATGTAAGCAAAATATTACATTTAAATGATTAAATATGAATAGTCCTTACCGAAAATATGTATAAACTAGCTGTTACCCACGACTTCGCCCGCGTGGATTTGTTTTGCGCGGTATCCTAAAAATAAAAGTAGTTCATGTTACTCCTTATAACATCAACTATCTGCCAGTGAAATTTTCGCCCACATCGGTTCACAGGTTTTTGCGTGATGCGTGTTCACGCCAAAATAGCGCGCAGATGACACATTTTATCAAACTTACTTAACATTTATCGTTATATTTTGGCCAATTTACAAAATATTTTTATGAATTATAGCTTAAGTGTTATTCTGATGTATGAGTCATATTATTGTAAAGTTTCATTAAAATCCATTCAATAGTTTTTGCGTGGAAGAGTAACAAACATCCATTACCACAATACATACATTAGGGGGTACTAAGAATCTCCGGTGGAGGTTCGGTTGCCACCTAAAACGACTCGACCTGGCAACAAACAACGCACGCACCCTGAGGGCTAACGAGAAGATCGTGGAGCTGGAAGAAGAGATAGACAAGTTACGCTGGCATATTATAGGGTTATTCGAGGTCCGAAAAGAGGGGGAGGACATGGTAATCCCCGAATCTGGCAACTTGCTCTATCACCGGGAGGGCGACCATCTGTCCCAAGGAGGTGTCGAATATATCGTCCACAAGTCTCTCCTTAACAAAGTTGTAAAGATTCAGAGCGTGTCGACGAGGGTTGCGTACCTTATACTCAGAATCACCAAACGGTATACGCTGAAGGTCATATAGGTTTACGCACCAACCTCGGCATACCCGATGAGGAGGTGGAGGAAATGTGTGATATCTCTAGAGCCATGCATTCCTCCAAAACCCACTATACGGTGTTAATGGGAGACTTCAACGCAAAACTAGGCACAAGAGAGAACGGTGAGCTGAAAGTAGGGAAATTTGGAATAGGGCAACGGAACCCAAGGGGCCAGCAGCTGACCGACTTCATGGAGAAAGAGGGACTCTTTATGATGAACCCTTTCTTCCAGAAGCAGCCCCACAGGAAGTGGACCTGGTCGAGCCCCGACGGTTTGACAAAAAATGAGATTGACTTCATTATGACGACCAAACGACAACTGTGCAGTGATGTCTCCGTGATCGCGAGGGTGAAAACTGGTAGCGATCACCGAATGGTTAGAGGCACACTGAACTTAAACGTTAAGTTGGAGAGGTCTCGTCTAATGAAGTCAACGCTCCGTCCCCCTCGTGCTCTGTTCCAAAGTCCCAGAAACCTTTCAGCTCGAGTTACAAAACCGTTTTCAGTGCCTAGAAGACTGCAATGAAGTGGACGATATGAATGACAAGCTCGTGGAAACTGTCCATGCGGTCGGAGCTAAGTTCTGCAAGACCCGCGGCAGAACACAAAAACTCTCTGATCACACTCTTAATCTCATGGCTGTTAGACGGGAGATGAAGCTACATTCTTCAACAGATTTGACAGCATACAGGCAACTGAACAGATAGATCTCCAAATGCATGCGGCGGGACTTACGCAACTTCAATACAGCTTGTATTGAAGAAGTGAACGAGCGGAACCAAGGCTCCAAGAGATCTGTCTGCCAAAAAGACCCAACTGTCAAAGCTGAAGACCGAGTGTGGCAGCATCGTTTCCAGGACACCTGAGATTTTGAGTGAGATTGAGAGGTTCTATGGGCAGCTGTACACGTCATCGTTGGAGCCACACGTAAGTGTGGGTAACGATGCAAGAGCTAGTCTTATCCGACATTATTCCGAAGATATCCCGGACGTCAGTCTGAGCGAGATTAGAATGGCTCTCCAGCACCTTAAAAACGGAAAGTCCCCGGGCGAGGATGAAATTACAGCGGAGCTTTTGAAAGCGGGTGGAAAACCGGTATTTGAAGTCCTTCAGAAGCTCTTTAATTCGGTCCTCCATGGTGGCACTACTCCGGAGGCGTGGAGCAGAAGTGCGGTGGTTTTGTTCTTCAAGAAAGGCGACAACGCTCTCTTGAAGAACTACAGACCGATTTCTCTTCTGAGCCGCGTCTACGTGCTGTTTTCGGGAGTCATTACGAATCGTCTCGCACACAGACTTGACGACTTCCAGCCTCCCGAACAAGCCGGTTTCCGATAAGGCTTTAGTACCATAGACCACATACACACCCTTCGGCAAATTGTACAGAAGACCGAAGAGTACAATTTGCCACAATGTCTGGCGTATGTGGACTATGAGAAAGCCTTTGATTCCGTCGAAATTTGGGCGGAGCTGCAGTCCCTTCAGCGGTGCCAAGTTGACTATCGGTATGTCGAAGTGCTGAAGTGTTTGTAAAGTAGAGCTACGATGGCTATCCGAGTACAGAATCAGAGTACGAAACCTATCCAACTGCAGAGAGGTGTAAGACAGGGTGACGTTATATCCCCGAAACTCTTCACCGCTGCATTGGAAGACATTTTCAAGCTGCTGGACTGGAAAGGATACGGTATTAACATCAATGGCGAGTACATCACTCACCTTCGATTTGCCGACGATATAGTCCTTATGGCAGAATCGCTGGAGGACCTAAGCACTATGCTCAATGACCTCAATAGTGTCTCCCAACGGATACGGTCTTAAGATGAACATGGACAAAACAAAAATTATGTTTAACGTCCATGTCACACCTATGCCGGTAGTTGTTGGGAGCACTAAGCTCGAAATTGTTGACGAGTATGTTTACCTGGGACAAATAGTCCGACTAGGTAAGTCCAACTTCGATCGAGAGGTCAATCGACAGATTCAACTCGGCTGGGCAGCGTTCGGGAAACTACGACACATCTTCTCGTCAGACATACCTCAAAACCTGAAAACGAAATTGTACAACCAGTGCGTGTTGCCAGTGATGACTTACGGAACTGAGACGTGGTCCTTCACTGCTTGCCGTATGAGGAAGCTCAAGGTCGCTCAGCGAGCTATGGAGAGGGCTATGCTCGGGGTTTCTCTGCGTGATAAACTTAGAAATGAGGATATCCGCAGTAGAACCAGAGTAACCGACATAGCCCAACGGATTAGTAAGCTGAAGTGACAGTGGGCCGGCCATATAACTCGAAGAACCGACAACCGATGGGGAAGAAAGGTTCTCGAGTGGCAGACTGGTACCGGTAGGTGAAGTGTAGGGCGACCCCCCACGGGATGGAGTGACGACCTAGTAAGATATGCAGGAAGTTGATGGATGCAGGTGGCTCAGGACCGTGCTTTGTGGCATTCCTTGTGGGAGAAAGGCTGTAATGATGATGATGATGATGATGATGAAACGTCAGGGATTTTTTTCCCGGCAATTAAATTATATTTTTTTTAAATCTCGATTATTATTATTACATATTTTAAAAATCCTTTGAATTAAGAATTTAATTGAGTATTTCATGTATGCGCATTTTTTTTTTCCGAGCATATTGGTATTATTTCATATATCGCCGTATATTGAATTGCTTCCGTTTTTTGCAGATGTAGATCACAGGAACTTGATATCGTTGACGCATCAGTTGACAAGTCAGACGAGGCCTCTCAATCCCAGCAAAGGAGATCAAGTAAGTCAATTTTTTATATAACATTAGCTGGTCAGGCAGACGTTGTTCTGCCCTTTCCGACGACCCTTCCTATGAAAAAATCCTTAAATTCGCAATAAAAAAATATTGAAGGTCACTTATCGGGATAAAAATTATCCTATCTCTCAAGTTGGACCAAACTTCACACAGTGTACAAAATTTCATTGAAATCAATTCAATAGTTTAGGAGTTTATCGCGGACAAACAAAGTGACACGTCATTTTCATATATAAAGACTAGCTGGTACCCGCCGTGTTGCAGCCGCAAAATAAATGATAATTGTGAAAATATCGTTTTAAATTTGCAAGGGAAAGTAATTAGGAAGGATAAAACATTTATTGAAGTTGAATGATATATATAACTTTCAAATAAATTTGTGCGCCACCTACTGTTAGTTAATTGTACTATGCCTATAACCTTCGCGCAAGTACAAGCAATAAGTTGACAAAGTTTTATGTAATCTGATGAACGGTATGGTGCATAAAATACGAACAAACCAAAACAAATTTCTATATATTAGAAGATTTTTTTTTTATAGAATAAGGGTGACAAACGAGCACGCAGTCCACCTGATGGTAAGTGGTTGGTGTAGCCCATAGACATCTACATCTATCTTCTTTTGCGAATCAAAATGCAGATGCGTTGTCACCCGTGAGGACTAAGATAGAATGCCTCTTTTCCAGTAAAAAGGGTCTCCGGTTCTCTACACTCACCATACGAAACACAGCAGCATTAAGCTGTTATTTTACGCTGGTATTATGTGAGAGCGTGGTCCTTCCCCGGACGAGCCGACCCATTCGTGCTACAACTATACTATTAATATAGCTGCAGCATGGCTCTACCACGTTGAAAAGATATAAAATGTCTGAAGCGTTTTTATTTTCCTTATCAACTTGTAAAAGTCTACTGTTGGACTTGCGTCTCCCCTCAGTTGGCAGGTAGATTAAAGATAACTTTGCCAGACGTCTCGCACCTTTGACACTGCTGTCTGTCACCATCCATCCATAAAACAAAAAAGAAACAAAAAAAACAATGCAGCAGTGAACTTTTATACACCCTAGTTCACTGCTGAATAACAAAAAAAAATTATTTTCTGTTTGTGTCTGTGTCTGTTCGTTATGGCTAATCTCCGAAATGGCTGGACCGATTTTGACGGAACTTTCACTGTCAGATAGCTGATGTTATAAGGAGTAACTTAGGCTACTTTTATCTTAAATAAACATTAAGCGTTCTGCGCAAAAAAAAAAAATTAAAACCCAAGTCTCGGGTATCAGCTAGTCTAAAATAAACCACGTTATACCGCCATCTATCAAAAGTCATAAGAGGCATTTCCTTAAGTCACATTTTACAAAGGCAGAGTGTACATAGTTTTGATATGATGATATGAATACACTTTTCAGGATTATCGAGTGCCACCGGTGACCGTCCCTAGCGATATCGTGGAAAGCGTCGATATGGATCTCTCTGAAGACGAGGATCACCGTAATATTCTATTTGTTTACATTTTTGCATGTGTGTGAGATGATGCACGAATGTGCTTGTATGTAGACTGTGCGTACTTCTACTTTTACTGCTGTTTATGTGTGTGTGAGTACTTTTTAATAACTATAATAACTTTAATAACTTTAATAACTATAATAACTAATAAAGAGCCGTGGTAGTTCAGGATCTAAATCGCTATCTGTCAAACGCGAGTAATGTGGGTTCAATCCCCGCCGGCAATAAAGAAATTGGTAATTGCAATTTAAGTTCTGATTTACCACGTCCTCGACGGTGGTAAAACATCGCGAGGACAACTGCATGTCTTAGAAATTAAGGAAAATATAAGGGGCAGCGCGGTGGACATTTCCTTGCTATTAATAACTCCCTTAGAATTGAGAAGAGGTCTGTGGCCATCTGCGTGATGTATATAAACTGTAACTTTCTCGTTCATAAACTATACAAATTGAAAAAATAAAATTGAAGTGTCTGTATTTTATACGTGGTCGAGCCATGCTGCAGCTATATTAGTAGTATAGTTGTAGCACGAATGGGTCGGCTTGTCTGGGGAAGGACCACGCTCTCACAGAAAACCAGCGTAAATAGCAGCTTAACGTTGCTGTGTTTCGTATGGTGAGTGTAGAGAACCGGAGACCCTTTTTAGGCCGGCCACATACATACGGAATTCCGTTTCGAGATTCCGTTTCGATATTCCGATTCGGAATCCCGAACGCAGCAAGTCCATATAAAATCTATGACCCGCCACACACGTACGGTAGTTTTCCGTTCGATATTTTGCGGGCAAAACGGGATTCCGTTTGTGTGTGGCCGACCGTTCGAAATTCCGAAACGGAATCTCGAAACGGAATTCCGTATGTATAGAGCGGGCCTTACTGGCAAAGAGGCATAACATCTTAGTCCTCACGGGTGACAACGCATCTGCATCTTGAGTCTTTATTGAGGATAGATGTAGATAGATGTCTATGGGTCACAGTAACCACTTACCATCAGGTGGACTGTGTGCTCGTTTGTCACCCTATCCTATAAAAAAAAAGAATTAAAGCAAGAGCCTAGTATTTATATTCGGTGTATTGAGGAGGCGTTTATTAATTTATATGATTCAATGTCTAGTCACTGCCATATTTGCAATTTTCCTACTTCATGTCATAAACAAAGTTGTATTTTTTTCACAGAAGCCCTTTACTCTAACCAGCCTAACCAAAATGAGCATGCGCGTCGGCACAGCTTTAACAACAATAAGGTTCTAGTTGGTGGGAATAATGGAAAATCAAACCACAATGACCAAAACCATACAAACCTCATTCAAATTAACAGCGTACCCGACAAAGAAAGAGTTGTGGAGGGACCAAAGTCAGCTCCCATAATACCCATGAACAATCCATTCGAAAAGATGCCACCAGCATTGAAACCTTTCAATATGGCATTCCAGAAGAACTTTGAGGAAAGAGATGATTCTAATGATAGCTTATTCGAAGAAGACCTGAGAAGTAGGGGCCTGGACAAGCCCAACATGGACAACATTCGAAATCCATCGCCTCCAGAATATGGGGACTTTAATAATAGTGAATGGCAAAACCAAAGCCCGAGGCCGTTTATGAATCAGCGATTCCCTAGAAACTGGGGCCCTCGGACTAATTTCAGGCCTCAAGGTTTCGGACCGCAACAGTTCTGGCCCCGGAACGGCCCGAGGCCCCCAAACCGATGGATGGGCCCGAGACCGCAAAGATTTTGGTGATGTGTAACCTAATATGTACAGTGATTGTGTAAAGTGTTTACATATTATAGTGACAAAAAGTTTTTATTTTAACACTGTTGTATACAAAAGTATGTGACGGTGGAGATGTAATGTAGGCTTATTAAAGGATATATTGAAACCGATATATATACTATGATTTTTATTAGCAATAGTACTTGGAGTTTTCTAATACATTTTTAGTGAATGACGTAGAATATACAATATGTAATAAATACACTGTTTGATCCCAACACTTAGGCCACTAGGCCCACGGGGGCACACATTGACCATTATTGGTTTAATGGTACATATCAAATATATGTATGAACACTTTCTGAAAATAAATAAAGGTACCACAATGACATTACCAAAAATTATAACATGTTATTCCATCCATTACAGCCTATAAAAGTCTTATCAGAGTATTTTGCCATAGTTGCCACGCCGCCACCGCCATTTTATTTAAAATAAAAAATGTTATTATTCTTTAAAATAAAGTTTTTATAATGATTTCTTATATTTACGCGAAGACTACACATTAAATGAAACTAATTTTTACGGATTTTTTCGCGTTTAATTTAACTTTTTACCTCCCGACGTTTCGGGTCCTGAAAAGCACCCGCATGAAAGAACATATAGCTGACTTGAAGCACCGACATTCCGGGAAGTCTGCAGTGTGTGAACATGTTCAAGATCGTCCCAACCATTACATTAGATTTGATAGACCACAAATCCTCGCAAAAGAACACCGATTCCTACCAAGAATGATTCGCGAGGGTATTGAAGTTAAAAAACATCCTAATTTCAATAGCGAAGATGGATGGGTGCTGCCATCTGCTTGGGATCCTATAATTAATAAAATAAAATCCAAACCTAAGCATACCACTGCAAGACTTCAAGATACTGTAAGTTCATACTGCGTAGATCGGAACAAAAGTTAATATTCAAAAACTGAAGTTAGCCTGGCTAATCATGACATCGAGACGTGAAACACCTCAGTCCCTCCTGTGACCTCGGGAAACGTCGGAAAGGAAAAAGTTAAATTAAACGCGAAAAAATCCGTAAAAATTAGTTTCATTTAATAACATTTTTATTATAATTTATTTCAAAATTCGGAAAATGTTAAAATCTGGCGTAGCTGTTACAAGTGAGCGTATAGTAGTGTGATCAATGGAAAACTCTGACGAAAAATTTATTTTATTTCAAATCTTGTGTTGTGTTGATCAGGTTGTTCATCATGTAAGTATTCAAGAAAAGATGTTGCAGTGAATTTCATCACTTTTTCTTTGATCTGTGGAAAGAACTGGTAAAATTCTTTAAATATTTTAGTATCTTATAAAATATTGAATAATTACATACCATTTTATATAAACAAACTTATTTCTCATTAATTTCATTGGAATCGCATAAAACCTGTGCGTGCGTTAATGGTGTTCCGTGTCCACTGAGATGGAACGTGGCGGGCCACAGTGCGACTGAATCCATCAGCAAATAGCTCAGCAAGCGCATTTTTAGTCTTCAGTAGACGCAGTTGCATACAAAATGTATGTATGTTCGTTTAGATACGGTCGTATCTGTGTCGCGCCGCACTTTGGCACGTGCCGGATATTTTCAAACGCGCCGCCAACATCATATATCATCGCGTGCGGCGTACACCCGCAGGAGAATTTGGCATTTAAAAACGCCGTAGTGAAAGATTCCTTGCTACCCTAACTTGTGTTTATTATTTATATTCGTATTTTATTAAGATTATTATTTCATAAGAATAGTATTCTATTTATCTACTATTTTATTCATACGAGGGTGCGTTTTTAAGTTCGGGGAATGGGGGGTAAGGAGTGGAAATAAAAATCCAAATTTATTTTTCCTTTTCAATATATTCACCTGCTACCCTAATACATTTTTCGGATCTTTCAATTAACTTATGTAAACCCGCAAAAAAATGATTTGTCTTTGTCTAAAAATACGCCGAAACTGCTTCCTTCACTTCTTCATCACTTAAAAACTTTTCTCACGAAGTTCTTTTTTTAAGTTTGACAATAGATAATAATCACTGGGGGCCAGGTCAGGACTATAGTGTAGGTGTAGCAAAATTTCGAAGCCCACCTTCTGCAGGGCTGCCATCACAACATGGGACTTTTTAACAGGCGCGTTGTCGTGCAGAAGAAGGATTCCTTTGGTCAATTTTCCCCTTCTTTTCTCCTTTATGGGTTCCTTCAATTGTTCTAGGATTGTTCTAGGACGTAGTATTGTTTCCGGTTATGGAGACACCTTTATCTTTATAATTAATCAATAGGATTCCTTCTGAGTCCCAAAAGACTCTCGCCATGATTTTCCCAGCCGATTGTGCCACCTTAAATTTCTTGGGTGGCGGTGTGCCTTTTTTGTGCCACTGCATAGAGTCCTGTTTGGGCTCAGGTTCATAATGGTGAACTCAAGTTTCGTCACCAGTAGCAATTCAGACCAACACTACATCTTTGTCTTCCATACAGAGGTCCAAAAATGCACGAGAAAACTCCACGCGCTGTTGCTTTTGAGGCGGCGTGAGCATTCTAGGCAACCATATTGCGCTGACTTTAGTCATGCCAAGATGGTCATGAAGAATTTTGAAAATGGTTCTATCTGATACTCCAACCATTTCTGCGAGCTGTTTTTTTCTTTAGGCGGGCATCTTCTAATATTAATTTTTTGACTTTTTGAATAATTTCCGAAGTGGTTACGCCTTCCTGGCCGTGGGTCGTCTTGAAGTGACTCTCTGCCTTGCTTAAAAAGGGTATGCCACTTGTAAACCATAGTTTTACGTGAACAAGTCTCCGTAAACGGATGACATCACTTCCAGTATAGTCTAAACTGATTTTCCGCGCTTGGTAAGGAAATTTATAACGGCACGGAACTCGATTTTCTCCATATTTCACTTTCTTCCCGATTGACTTCTTTGGTTGACGATAACTCAAAGACTAATGATCTAATTACAATAAAACCCGGTATTTATACTAATAATGAGTTGCTCAATTAGCACGTAACTAAGCGACGTCCCCACTTATTACCTACCTACCCATTCCGCGAACTTAAAAACGCACTCTTGTAGAATAGAAAATCATTTATTTAACAAATACAATTAAAATAATAAAATAAAATCAAAATAATAAGTGCGCCTAAAGGTGTAGCGACTCTATTAGTGAACAGACTTTATAGTAGCCGGTAGATCTTTGCGATGCGATGCTACCTTAATGCTTGTATCAACCAAACGAGGCGACCACTAAGTGGATACTAGCATTAATCGACGGACATACAGGATGGCCGGACAATTGACGTCATAAATTTTTTTTAGGTCCGGCAGGTTGTGGGTTATTCGAATTACCCCCATGTATGTTCCGCGATTTTTGATAGTTTTCGAGTTATAATTTTCTTTAAATTTTTTGGTAAATTTCGTCTTGACTGTCTTCAAAAATAAAAATAAAAATTTGAAGACGAGATTTTTTTTATTTTTGCAAATGAGTCTTCATAAGTTGTCCTTTTACGCATAAAATAATCAAGTTCGTATCTTTACTAAAAGCAAAGAAATTTTTGGTCTAAAGTTAAAAATTTACGTTTTGTGAGTTATGTCTTAAATCTTTAACTTTAAATTAAAAATCTAAAAAGGTGGAAATTCTAAATCTACGCCTGTCTGAAAAATGCGCCAGGCTCTTAGCTTTCATAATCATACGTCAATTTGTCCGGCCAGCCTGTATACTTCGCATGTGTAAGTTTCCCCATTTACTAAAATTTCATATTTTTGCGGAGTATTTTTATTTATTCTCTGAAAATCATTACATAAAAATAATCATATCACGATACCTAAACCTTTAAGCACTCTGATGGATCGAACAGGGATTTTACATATTGCATATTAAATAATATAATGTAAATATTTGTTACCTCTTATGCACCTGAAAATCAGTCTTGTTAGATAGGAAATATCACAGTAAGATGCTATTGATTTTTGTTTCATTAAACCTGTACTTCTGCCGACTTATTTATTTGGTACTGTAAGAACATCGGTAATTTATAATTTTTATGATATATTCATTTTATGTCAGAATCTTGTGGGTAGTCGTAACATACAAATGACCACATTCGAACCACCACATTACAGTGAATATAGTTATTCAATTTCACGATGAAGGTTTGACTTTGGTTGTGTTAGCTATGCACATACACATAATTGTGTTAGTGTGCGTAGGCCTCGGGAGCGCTCAGTGTGCCTAGTGCGAGTTGTTGTTTTTACGCACTCGATACCGAGAAAGTTAACTACAATTTGTATGGAATAAAATAAGCGCCAACTAGTGGCAATAATTGGAATCACCATCGAGCATTGACTCTCATTCGCCAGTGAGAACGTTAACGCACGTGATTGGTTGGAGCGGCAACTTCGATCATTCGAGACGTAAAACTTTACGCGGTCGTTATCGAAAAAGTATTCACCTAAATTTTTACAGTGAGATAGAAGAGTGAGAATAATTGATGAAGAGTTAATTTTATTTCGTTTTGTGAGAACAATATATAATTTAGGCAGGACGTTATTTTTTCGTTAGGAGGATGTTTGCAGCCACAAAGGCATTAATAACTAATAATAATAGATGACTACTATTATAAAGCCAGTGTTGAAGCAAGAGCTTGTGCATATTTTAGTCCGTTGTTACACCCCAATGACAGGTAATTTAAGGATAGATATCGCCTTTTCTAAGAAAGTATTCAAGTTTTTGTGTAAATAGCGTTTGATAAATCCAAGTTCCTACCATCACTATTTAATAATTAAGTCAGTAATAAGTAAGTATCATAAGTTCACTTAACACTAAGTAACTAAATTCTATTTACTGCTCCATAAATATCACCATAAAATCATTTAGAATGAAAACATCTTCATGTTTTTTGCTTTCAATTTAATACTTTCAATAATTAACATTAAAATAAAATGGCTAATTCTCAATCTCATAAAACTAACACAAACTGTCGAAACC